TCCCCTGACACTTTCCTGACCACTGTCTGCTCCCAGGATACACCATGGCCGGCAGGTCTCCCTTCCGTGTTTTCTCATTCTGGAATGACCTCACCTCTGGGCTTTCCCACCCCAGCTCTCCCTCACCCTCCAGGCTTCCCCAACCCCAGCTCTCAGGACTCTGGCTCAGTACTTTCCTTATCAAACAGCTAGACTTGAGCCTCAAAGTCATTTTTCTTGAATGCTTTAGGCCTGGGTCACAGTGTTTTGCCATGGTACATGTCTAAGAAGTTAACTGACTGTGGATCTGTAATGCCCACCCTGGAACAGGTGAAAGGGCATGAGTCTGGGGACTGAGCATCAGACCTGGAGTCAAAAGCCCAAGGCCATTCTTGGGGCACCTGAGTGGCTCAGTCAGTTGAGCGTCTGACCCTTGATTTCAGCTCAGGTCATGATCTCAGGGTCATTAGATCAAGTCCTGCCTCGGGCTCTGTGCTGTGCATGGAGCCTGCTTAAGATTCTCTCTCCCTCTCCCTCCCTCCCTCCCTCTCTCTCTCTCTCTCTCTCTCGCTCTCGCTCTCTCGCTCTCTTTCTCTCTCTCGGGGAGGCTGAGTGGCTCAGTCAGTTGAGCGTCTGGTTTCGGCTCAAGATCTTACGGTTGACAGGTTCGAGCCCCGCATTGGGCTCTGTGCTGACAGCTGGGAGCCTAGAGCCTGCTTCGGATTCTGTGTCTCCCTCTTTCTCTGCCCCTCCCCCACTTATGCTCTGTCTCTCTCTGTCTCAAAAATAAATATTAAATTTTAAAAAATGAAAAAAAAAAAAGATTCTCTCTCACCTCCTCTGCGCCTCTCCCCTGCTTGCTCATGCTCTCAAGGAAAAAAAAAAAAAAAAAGCCCAAAGCCATTCTTCATTAGGCTGTGAGCCCTTGAGTAAATCACTCAGTCTCTCTAAACCTCAGTTTCCTCATCTATAAAACGGGGATAGTATAGAGACCACTTCACAGAGGTACTGAAAGGATTAGAAATAACACACGCAAAGTGTCTATGCTTAATTAACAGCAGCTATTACTACTACTAGGAGCCATGAGACAGTGTTAGAGGCAGGGTCCTGGGCCAGGCATGTACACACGGCACTCTGCCCAGACTGAGCGTCCCATCCGTGCTGCTGGATGGAAGGATGAGCCTGGCCGCAGAGAGCTGACCCAGGATGGCACATATTAGGCTCTACTGTACTTCAGGGCTCAGTGGCCTGTGCCATCAGCCCTGGCACAGTTGGCTTATTGGCCCCCACTCTGTCCCACCACTAGAGAGTCTGCGAAGTTTTCTAGAGAAGGAAGAGTTTAAGGAGAGGAGGACACAAACCAGGCTCCATTTCTCCTTTCCTTCTGGGGAAGTGGAAAGGGGAAGAGTCGAGCCAAAACAGAAACTACATTCATCACTTTACAGTGCCCCCTCCAGCCCGGACATTCTGATGGTACACTTTACTGGAAAACCTTAGCAGGCTAAGACCTACTCAGCTGTCCTGCCCCGTCCACATGCCAGGCCCTGTTGAATGTCGGGGATGCCCTGGCCTACTCAGGGGCTGGTGAGTCAGGCCCCACCACACCCTTAGTGCTACTGGATAAAACTTGGGAGCTAATGAGGTCAAGTTCTCAAGGTCAGCCTGGAAAGGGCCAGTCATCTTCCGGGAGAGATCTCAGTCCTATCAGTCCACTCAAGGGAAGGTCCCACAGGCAGAAAGGAGTTCAGCACAGACCCCTCCCAGCACCAGCTCTGTCCAGACAAAAGCCAGGGTCAGCCTTTCCCTCTCCAGAAAAGGTTCACAGGGATACACAACTGGTCAGATGGGATGCCTTGCTTGTCCCCTGTCCTATAGACATGGCAGCTGCCCCTTTGGGGGCTGGGACCTGGAGGCAGCTTCTCAGAGACAGCTGTAGACCTGGAGTCAAGAGACAGTTCTTGAAGTTCCTGCTGAGTGACTTCCCCTGAGTCTCAGCTTCCTCATCTGTTAAATGGAGCCAACAGTCTCTACCACTCAATGGAACAAGTATGAGCTGCCAAATACACAGGACTTTTGGTCTCACCCACACCTCCTCCCCAGTTTGGTGTGCAAGAGCTCAGTCTAATGCAGCATATGAACTGAGAACCTATAACATGCCAGATACTGTGCTAGTCCCTGGAGATGTTTAGGGGTTCTGGGTCTGGTGAGAGAGGCTAACATAAATAAAACACGGTGCCATACTGTAATCAGCACTTTCAGTGAGGAACAAACAATGGACTGTGGGCTCTCAGAGAAGCATCTGACCCAGGTTGGAGTGGGTGAGGTTGGGAAAGCCACAAAGAGAGGAGCCATCTGACCCAGGCCTTGAAGAATCTGCATCTACCAACCACAGGCAAGGAAGATGAGCATTCCAGGTAGGCAAAGGCCCAGACTCAGGTCTAAAGCATAGGCCCAGCCCACAGGCTTTCAAGCCGACTACCCCAGGGGGCCTGCCCCAAACACCAGGCACCAGGCCTTCACACCTCTCCTGGGCGTGGTCCCCACAGGCTCCTAAATCCAGGAGACACTTCTTCGTGGTCAAGCAAGAAAAGGAATCCCCAACCTCAGCAGAGGAGGCTGCCTCGGCCCTCTTGCCCACCTCGGCCCTCCCCCTGAAAGGGAGCCAGGTGCCCATTCTCTGAGTCCACCCTGGCCTCTACCTCCCTTTGGTAATTTCATCCTCTTGCTCTAAGGTCCCTCACTAATTGTCTGCTCCTCTGGGAAGCCATTCTTGGCCCTCCTCCCCATGGGTTCCCAGAGCTCTGTGTACATTTCTCTAGAATTAATGCTTGCCATGTAACAGTCATTCACTTCCCGAGTCATTTCCTGAGCAGACTGACATCAGGTCTGGGTTTTTTCCATTCTTGAAGCCTCACTCAATAAATCCAGATCCTGCCCCCAATGCCCTCCACCCCAGCATTTTATTTATTGACAAAAAGCCAGGCTTTGGAGTTCTGGAACAGAATGAGAAGTAAGCCACATCAACTGTTCTCAAGCAATTTAAGAAATTAAAAATGACGGGGCGCCTGGGTGGCGCAGTCGGTTAAGCGTCCGACTTCAGCCAGGTCACGATCTCGCGGTCCGTGAGTTCGAGCCCCGCGTCGGGCTCTGGGCTAATGGCTCAGAGCCTGGAGCCTGTTTCCGATTCTGTGTCTCCCTCTCTCTCTGCCCCTCGCCCATTCATGCTCTGTCTCTCTCTGTCCCAAAAATAAATAAACGTTGAAAAAAAAATTAAAAAAAAAAAAAGAAATTAAAAATGACAACCACAGCTCTAGAATATTCTTATATAAGCAGTAACGGTTAAGGTTTATTTATTGAGCATTCACATGCTATTTTAAGCTCTACGCATAATTTCATTTAATCCTCACGGTAACTCTATGAGGTAGGCACACTGCTATCTCCATTTTACAAATTAGGAAACTGGGGTGCTTTCTTCATCTAAGTCATAAAATAGTGTCAGAACCCACAAAGTCTGATTCGAGAGTCTGTTTGCTCAACCACTGTTCTACTACAGACAGGGTGTTGTAGGGACACAGGGGGTTGGTGTTAAGTCTTGGACAGGGTAGATGGAAGGAAGTCTACCCAGAGGTGGTACTGTCTGAGCTGAGCACTGAGAAGGACAAGTAGAAGGTAGCCTGGCAGAGAAGAAAAGGGGCTTCCCAGACAGAGGGGCTGATGTGCAAAGGCAAGGAGACACAAAATTGCAAGGTGTGGGCAGGCAGCTGCATGTTATTGGACTTTAGGGTGCACATAGGAAACTGGCAGGAAAGAGGTCAGAACCCAGAGAGCTCTGTAAATAGTGCTAGGGAATCAGCCTTTTCCCCACAGCAATGAGAAGCCAACAAAGGGTTTTAAGCAAGGAAGTAACACTATGAGACTTGTGTTTTAAAAGGATCACAAGAGTTAGTTTGGAGTCTGGGTTGCAGGCAGCCACGACTGGAGGTTGCTAGCAAGCCACTGCGGTTATCCTGGTGACAAATACATCAAGGTGGTCACAGAAGAGATGGAGGCCCAGGATCAGGTTTGAAGCATGTTCAGGAAGTTGGCCGGACTGGGTCACCCCACTGATGTGGGAATTGAGGGAGAAGAGGAACTGTAAGATAATTTCCCGTTTCTCGCTGGGATGGGATGGCAGAGGAAGAACGCGCTTGCAGGGAAGGAGACCAGTTGAAGTGAGCTCCAGCCGAAGTGGAGCTGTCCAACTGGTAGCTGGATGGCCAAGTCTGGGGCGCCAAGGAGGGGCTGCGCTGAAGAAAGAAGTCGATCTGAGCGCCTGTTGGGCCTTTAGGTGGTGTAAAGCTGAAGCCATGAGAGTGGATGAGACCATCAAAATTCAGTGTATAGTGGGGGCTGGGCAGGAGAAGAGAATGTGAAACGGTACTTCTACTGTCAGAACAGTAGGAAGAAAATAAGGAGATGCTGACGCGGAGGACGCCAAAGGGGGCGGGGTGTCAATTATATCAATTAGGAACGAGTGTCACTGGTGTTATGCACCTCTAAGAACTCAAGAAAGATTCTTTAAAGGGCGCTTTTGATGTCAGTTAGGAAGTCATACACTGCCGGTTTCAAAGGAAGTTGGGGTAGACCGGATGACAGCGAGACGCATACCTGCTGGAATGTATATTTTCTTCCTCTTTCAAAGACCCTGACCCCTGCCCACATCCAACTCCAGCCCCCTAAAACCCAGATTTCGTCCCTCGTCCCTCCCTTCACAGTGGAGAGCGAGGCTCGGGAGGACAATCGCGGACGCCCTCCCCGGGCGCTCTCGGGTGGGCGGGGCCGAGGAGGGTCGGCGTCTGAGCCCCCAGAACCCCGCGTGGGGCGGAGCGAGGCCGAGCAGAGGAAGGGGGCGGAACCTGGGACGCCGAGGGTGTGGGAAGGGTCGGACGGAACCAACAACGGACACTAGGCAGAAAGGTGGAATCCGCTGGCAAGACACAGCCCTCGTACCACCCGACCCCAGTGACCTCCCCCGGACCCACCTGCTCCATGTCAGCCACCGACCGTGCTCCTCCAGTCCCAGCCGCAGCCAACCCCGCAGCCCGGGCCGGGCCTCCGAGCGGAACAGGATCTCCCGGCGGCGGCGCCGCTTCCGCCGCTGAGCCCGCCCCACAGAGCGAACAGGGACGTGCGTAGACGTGCAGCCCCGCCCCTTCGCCTCAGTCTCCGCCCCCAAGCCTTGGGGCCCCGTCCCGAGAGCCGGAAGCGGGGACTGCTTAAGAGGTCTTAAAGGTTGGGGAAATGGGAAAGAAGCCCAGGGGCATCATCATTGTTGGGCCCCAGAGGCCTGGTACTGTGGGGAAAAAAGGGGAACTTCCTGAGGGGAGGTCTTTGGGGCTAGGGGACAGGTCCTTTGGAGGAACCCACTTACTCTTGAAAGTTCTTTCTCTCCCTGCCTCTTTCAGCGATCCCTAGCAGGATCTAGTACTTCCGTGGTCCTTCGTAAGAATGCTCCTAGCTTGTCTGCAGGAAAGACTTCCAGACTAGAGGACTGGACACTAGGATCGAGATGGCCACCAACCAGGTCTTCCACATACGGGAACCCGTTATCCCCTCCTCCCTCTCCTTTCCCCTGAAAGAGGAGTCTCAGCACAGTTATTTACAAAGATTTATTACGGCACAGGAGTGGTTCAGGCCTGGAGTCAGGGAAGAGGGGAAGGGGGCAGAGCAGCTGGAGGACAAGGAGAACCTGGCTTCCCCACCGTGTGCCCCCCTAAGGACGTATACTAGGCGGCATTCCTGGCATCAAAGCATAAACAAAACGCAACAAAGCAGCCTCTGCTAGTCCATTCTTCCAGGCACCCAGGCTGGGGAGCAGGAGTGATAAGGGGAAGATTTCCAAAATGTTGAAGCTGAGGAGAAGGATGCCTGAATCCTGGGCCCTGGGAGAAGCCAGAGAGAGGGGTGGTAACTTGAAATCCCCCATAGGAGAGGGGATGGAGAAGGATCTAAGGGTACCTACAATTTCTCAGTACCCTCTTTCCCCAGATCTTAGGGTCCTGCCCTGTGGGTTTCCTGTGCCCAGGGGAGAGGGTCTGGGGAGTGGAATTGTGAAGGATAAACCTTTGCCCCCCCCACACACACACCCTTACTGGATTATCTGATGCAAAGTCTCTCACATCCCGCCTCCCTCTGGGTAAATGGGGGAATGACTGGCAGGGGTAGGCATCAGGCAGCAAGTACCCAGGAACTCTGGGCATCAGCCAAAGGTGGGCAAACAAGCAAACACAGACCAGCCTTAAGTCTTCTAGAAGTCAGAAGCCACAGCCCTAGCGAGTGAGGGGGAAGGGTACAAAATAGGGTGGGGACAGAGTGGGTTTCTGGGGAACAGCAATGCCCCCTCCACTTCCTTCTGAGAGATGCAAGGCTGGATGCCTATGTGCCAGGCTCAGGGTGGGCAGGGCGCTGTGGCTCCTCCCCAGACTCTGCAAGGCAAGCAGAGGGACTCAGGGCTTGGCCACGCTCATGAGAAATCCCAACCCACCACCCCACCTCCCCATTCCCCACCACCAAGCCTCACCATTTAGTGCCAGATCTTCCACTTGGTCCTTGGAGCTTCCATCTCTCTGGGGCTCATCCAGAGGGGGTGGGCGCTCCCAGGGTCCCTCCAGACCCTGGCCACAAGTTATCTTCTCCCCAGCTGGGGATGGGGTTGAAGGGATAAAAACGCAGGCTCTTAGGTATCCATTCAGTGGTCCTGGAGCATGAGCTGAGTTTCTGTAATAGCTAAGGCTAAGCTTTCTGGGGGCATCCTGGTATAATAGACAGAACACTGGCCCAAGACAGCTCTTCCGGTGAATAGTTATATGACTTAGATGAGTCAGTTATTACCTCTCTGAAGGGGATAGTAAGAGGGAAATTATGTAGATTGCCTTAAATAAGACAACAGTTACTACCCTGACCAGCCCAGCACCAGCACTCCAGGAGCGGTGGCAACTGATATTGGTCCTTGGTAGTCTTGTCATTTGCCCCTCTGCCCTACTGCTTCTCCTGAGAAAACATTCTCCTCTCACCTCCTCTTTACCTGTCCTAAGGGTCTCAGTGAGAGTGGACTCAATTTCCAACAGGAGCTTTTGCTCCAGAGATGCAGAGAAGAGGTCCAAGCCATTTTGTTTGGATCTGAGGGATGGACGCTACAAGCAGGGGTGGTCAACTGTTTTTCATCCCCATAAAATGAAGGACCAGAAAGTTTAATGTGCACTGGGAGGGATAGATATGGCACAATCTACTATAGCTAAGCATGGAAAAAACAGCCATGGGAGTGACAGAGATCTTTCTGCCTAGGAATTCTCTGGGCCTTGGGTCCTTTTGTGGAGATTTCTAGATCTGGGGTCTCTAGCTCTGAGGCCTTCTGTGTCGGTCTTAGGCCCCTCCTTGGCAGGTCTCTTCCCAGGCAGTTGGGGTTGGAGGTGCAGAGGACCAGGTTGGTTCTTGAATCCTAGATTCTCCATTTAGACACTAGAGGGCACCCTCTCACCTCCAGCCCAGGAAACAAAAAAAGGGGAGACACAGCCACAGGGTCCTGGGGAGGACTTAGAAACCAGCTCTCAGCCTCCTAGCTGAAGACCACATCCTACGTTCAGAAATGCAGGTAAAGGGGGCATTGGGCCCTCTTAGTTGTCTATCCCTGCGTTTCCTTGTACCCCCTCACTGCCATGGCGAGGAAGTCTTTTCTTGGGTCTAGCCTGAAACCTCAAGTGGAAGAGAGGAATTATCAGGGACAACCTGATTGGGAGAGGGACAGGGTCAGGATGAGAGCAGCCCCAGTAAGCCCAGCAAGGCACATATGGGTGGGAAGACGGGCAGGCCCTCACTGTATGACCGCAGCTTACGTGTGTCAAAAAAACTCCCAGGCCTCTCAGGGAGGAACCCACCTAACCCATACTCGTGGAACCCAGGCATCTTGGCCCCGTCAGCTTACCAGGCCCCCTCCTGCCCTTCAGAACTTCAGCCTGGCTGTCCTCCTCCTCCTCTTCCTCTTCCTCTTCCTCCTCGTCTTCCTCGTCTTCCTCTCTAGGGTAGCCCAGCTCCCGCAGCTCCCCCAGCTCATCCTCCTCCTCTGAGGCCTGGTTCTCGCTCAGGTTGCTGATGGACTGGAGATGCGACTCGGCAATGCGCTGCACAGCTGGCATGGGGGAGGCAGGAAGGCAAGGGTCAGCCAGACCAAGAAGCAGCCCAAGAAGCTGGAGAGGCATGTGGCCCAGCCTCCAGTCTCCTTCCCATGGCTAACCCCCTGGAAGCATGGAGCATGGCTAACCCCCTCAGGCGTATAGTTCAAAAACTAAAGGTCCCAGGTCAGTTTGCTGGGGGGCCAGACAAGGGCAAAAGCAGCAGGCGTTAGATCCTTGATCATGTGTGACTCCTAAGCTGTCCAAAGATGCAGCCCCCCCCCCCCCCACCAAGGCTGGCACTGGGCAGCTCCCCCAAACTATAGGGTGTCAAGCTAGACAAGACCAGGCAGGTACAGCAGCAGCTTAACATTCCATGGCTAGGGAACTTGTTTCTCCAAGGACCCAGTACTGGAGACAGTGTCCACCAGTTATAGCCCTGGACAGAAGGCATAGGACCCATGGGCCAGGGCCTGGGGGATCTGTCCCTTTTAGTTTCTCTCAGAGTGCCCAGACTGCCTAGGGCCCATTGCTTATCCCAATCCTGCACACACCCCCTCCAATTCCGGGCTTGGTCCCCACTCCCTGGCACTGCCCACGTCATAAATGCCACTCCACACATCTCTGCCCCGGGTCCTGGGGTAGGAACAGTTTGGAGACTGAGAATATAATAGTCTGCAGCCAGTGAAGCCTGTGCCTGGGGATGTGGAGTGCTCAGACGCAGCCCCCACAATCTTGACCCACATCCCCAAGCTTCCAGCTCCCTCTGTGGTGACCTAGAAAGCAGCAAACACCACCCACCCCCCCAACACCACCAAGGCCTGCTGGGATAGGGCCTAGGAAAGGAACAGTGTGGGCAGCTGAGGAGAAGTTTCCAAAAGATGGAAAGGACTGTGTTAGGAGAAAGGGGCCAGGGCTGGGGGATTCTGGGGCAGAGGCAGGGGTTGAGGGGAGGCTGTGAGGTGTGGCTGGGGCAGAGGCGGCTGGGGCAGAGGCAGCAGGGAGACCAGGAGCTGGTGGGAGTTTAGAGCACTGGTGTCACTGAACTCACAGCTCACAGAGAAGATGCTGACAAGCTAGGTGCTGGGGTTCTCCAGCTCCTTCTCCGTGGCAGGCAGCCCCTCCCCTTAGAAAGCCCAGAGGGGTAGATCCAGGCTGGAAACCTCCGGTGCAGTGAACAGGGCACCACGCTCCTGCCAACTCGGGACTGGCACAGAGGGTGCATTGTGTGTGCCCACTACCCCACCCTGCCCCGAGTTCCCAGCCCGGTGCCTCTTGCTGGCTCTGGGCAAGCTACTCAGACAATAAAAATGCAATAAATCGCCCTGCCCTGGCCTTGGGGACGCAGCAGCACTTCACCTTGAGCCAAGTGTGAGAGCTTGGCCTTGGAGAGTCCCCTTCAAGCCAAAACTCAGTGTTGTCCACCCTCCCCCCCCCCCCCGGGGGGTCGGTGGTCTCCCCCCACAAACCACCCCCCCCCACCCCGCCAGGTGCACTCCCTTGGCCAGAAAGGGGCTGAAGCCTGCAACACAGTGCCCTCCAGGTACAGAAGGGTCCTCTGAGGGTTAGGGGGAAGGGAGGAGAGGAAGGAGGTGGCTGCTTGAGCAACCACCCTCTCCCCTAGTCGGGGGAGTACAGTCCAGCTCCTGAGCTGCAGTGCCGATAGGTGTGCAGTGCCTGTGCCGGCGCCCTGGGAGCCTCCCGCGCACGCGCCTTCCCTTGTGCCTCTCGGTGCTCCCTGAGGTTCCCCCCCCCCCCCCAGCCCTCTCAGCTGTCTTCTTCTCTATCTGTCCTCATGTCTGGGACCCTGGACCACCACCACCCCCAACCCAAGTCTCCCTTTTGAAAGGTCCCCAGCACAGCCCCCAGACTGCCCTGCCTCTCCCAACTTAGACCCTCCTAAGGTGCAGCCCGAAGGGACAGTGGCGGTGGGACCACATTTCTAGCCATTGCAGGATGCCCAGAAGCACTTGGGCCCTATTCTCCTCACCCCTGCCTTCTTCCCCATGCTCATAACCAAGAATCCAAGGGACGGTTCTTGTCCCTCACGTCCATTCAGCCCTCCCCAGCCCAGAATAGGAAGGAGAGAGGTCCCGTGTTCTCTCTTGAGAAGATGCCACCAACCCCCCCCCCCCCATTTCTACTGCACGGGCTTGGCCTTCCTCCATATCCCTACAGGTGGGAAGTCCTTCCAGGTGCTGAACCCACTGCCCACATGCTATCCCTTCCTCTTTCTATCCTGGGGGGGGGGGAGAAAATGCCCTTGCCCTTCTCTCCTCTCTTCCCAGCCTCTCCTCTCTGCTCCCAACCCTGGCAGGCAGGCTGACAGGTAGGTGACAGGTGTGCCTGTTGACCTTGGCCAGTGCTGGGAACTCATTAAACCCGCCCCAGAGGGAGCTCTCAGCACACCCATCCAGCCATCCGGTCCTCCCTCCGCGGGAGGAGGGGGTTGGCCAGGCAGGAAGAGCCTCAGGCCTGGAGCTGCAGTGGGGGTGGGAAGGCATTCTTTAGCTCAGTTAGGAAGAGTCCCTCCCCATCTCCACACCTTCTCCTCCAGGTGTATCTCCCCCAACTTGCCTGCAGATAGCCAAGTCCCCAGGCTGACTCTAGAGGCTCTCTCTGATTTCACACCTCCTCCCCCATGTACGTTTCCTTTCCTCATCCTGGAATGCCCTTCCATGCCTTGCCTGCCTGTTGAATTCCTACTTATCCTTCAAATCCAGGCTTAACCATCCTCTCCTCAGTAGCTCGCCCATGACCCTTTGAGGCCAAAGGCCCCAAGAGGGCAGGAGCCAAATCTTACTCCCCTGATTTTGCCCAATGCCACCAGTGAGGCCTGGCATACACTAGGTGCTCTATAAGTGTGTACTATAAGAATGACTTGTGTTTGGAGCACTTGGGTGGCTCTGTAGGTTAAGCATTCGACTTTGGCTCCGGTCTTGATCTCACTGTTCATGAGTTCAAGCCCCGTGTCAGGCTCTGTGCCGACAGCTCAGAGCCTGGAGCCTGCTTCAGATTTCGTGTCTCCCTCTCTCTGTCCCTCCCGTGCTCGCTCTCTCTCTCTCTCTCTCAAAAATAAATAATAAAACATTTTTAAAAATTAAAAAAATAGACATTAAATATTTTTAATAAACAAATAAAGAAAAAAGAGTGATTTGTGTTTTAATACAGAAAGGAGAAGCAGGACCAAGAAGCATCCAGTTTGCTGACCTCTGCAAATGTTATGCCACTGGGAGAGGGGAGTAAAGGCTGCACCTGAAGAAGGTGCTCGTTGGAGAGCAGGGGACCAAAAGGTGGCCTGGGACACACTTGCAAAGAGGAGGTACAGTACTGAATCACTTTATGTTGATGATACTTGTCATTTTAGGCCAGCTATCTCTTTTCTTTCAATCCCACCACCTTATTTTAAGGCCCACAGCCACCTCTTTCAGCCCCTGGGCCCCTTCATTACAAGGCCAAATTAAGAAAGATCTGGTCCCTAAGTAGTGGTTGGGGTACACAAGACAATCCCTCCCCTTTGACAAAAGCTCAACATTTCACCTCCCTCCCCCAGTGTCAGCCCTGCTCCAGGGGCCGAGGGGACAGCCAGACTAACACGCGTGGGGGGGGGGGGGCGGTGAGGTGGAACAGTACCTTTCAGCGAGGGGGGTGTGTAGGCACATGGGTTGGGTCTCTTCGATTTGAGGTGATGCCCCTCTCCTGAGGCTCTCTGCCAGGGTAAGCACCAGGTTAAATAGACTCACCGAGGCCCCTTCCCTCCACCCTTCCCCCATTCCACCCCACCCTTGGCAACCCAGGCCAACTGCCCTAGCCTCTGCGGATGGGTCCAGGTGCCGCTGCCCCTCTGGTCCTGCTAGGACTTAGGCTTTGGAAGGGTCTCCATACACCATAGCCTGGCTCAAGGTAGAACCCCAGCCCAAGTCTGAGCAGGGGAAAGACAAGGGCAGAGGAGTATGTGCTGGTAGAACCCTGGCACCGGGCACTCTTATCTAGGTGCCAGTTGATACGCTCATGTGTCCTTCAAGTGGCATCCTGTATTAGTCAAGAATGATCCTGTCCAGCCCACTGCAAAGGGGCCCCCCGCATTCCTCCTTCCAGCTGCCCCTAGAAACTCACCTGGTGAGGGGAGGCCTCCTCCTCTGAGGGTGTCCACCAATGAACCAAGGGAAATGGAGGGAAGGAGAGAGAAGAGGGGGGAGAAAAGAGAAGAGAGAAAGAGAGAATTACTTTCCCCAAAGGCTCAATCTCTGGGGAAAGGGAATGTGTGCCCTTTCCTTCTGGGTATTCGGAAGTGCCTGGTCAACAGATAAACCCAAAAGAGTTTGACTCCCAGACCTTACCCACTCTGCCCCATTTTCTGCTCAGTTTCCTACTCATGGGACTTAAGGAAGGGCCCCAAGAAGGCATCAGAGTTAGGGTGGGGCCATGGCTGGGGCAGCAGGGAAGGGGCCCACCTGGCGAGGAGTGCTCTGAGAGCCGGAACAGCATGGCAGGGGTTGGTCTCCTGCGCCGGATCTAAGGAGATGGAGAACGAAGGGGGGGGGGGGGGTGCAGGATAGACACCTGCACCCCCCCCCAAGGCAGCAGAGAACAAACAGTGCTTTGAAATCCCCAGGGAACCTTTGAATCAAAGACTGTCAGAGCTGAAAGGAACTCTATAGCTCATCCAACCCCCTCATTTTACTGAGGTGAAAACCCAGGACTCAAGGAAGTTCAGCACAGAGCTCAAGGCCATACAGCTCACCATGGCAGAGAAAGGAGGAGAAAGGCCCATCACTGACTTCTAGCCCACACCCACCCCACTCCATGGCTCCTCCAGAATGGGCATCTCCCTTTCTACCTTTCCTTATCCAGGAAGCCCATCCTCTCCAGCTTTTGCAGATACCAGACCTCCAGAGCCGAAGCTGGCTCTGGAAGATGCCCCATGGGCCATGGCACCCACGTGGCCCTGCCCACTTAAGGTCAGCTCAAGGGCTTCAAAGAAACTGGATCTAGCTGCAGAGGAAGGCTGAGCCAGGGCACTGCAGACACCTGCAACCCCACACTGAGACTCAGGGGTGGGCCTGAGCCCCAGACCCACAGGGTCCTGGAGGTGTCCCTGGAGGCCTGTGTCTGGGTCCCTTTAGCAGTCTCTCTCAGGCTGTAACTCTTGGCCCAGTGCTCATAAAAAAACAAAAAGTTGTCCTCCTTGGTATGTGAGCCAAGCTAAACAGTGAGGGGGGGGGGGGGGGGGG